GTGAGGTTATAAAAGAGCGCACCTGTAATTTTTTGTGTTAGTTCATCTGCGGATGCATTAACGCAAGAGAAAGTCAGTGAAGCGAATCGATCAAAGGAGAAAAAATGTACATCGAGATTTGGATTATAGTTTTTACACGCTCGTTCAAAATTACCCAAAAAAGTGTAGAATAGAATGAAATATTTTCGGAGTAAACAAGGGGAATCCAAAAATAGGTAAAAGCTTTACTAATAATAAGGTAATAACTTACTTTAAATTAATTAATGTGTCAGATGGATAAAGCGTATTGGATGGTGGAATGCTCAGTTCATAACTCGCTCACCAGGTAGCGAGAGTGTGCGATTTGTTCTCTAATTACTTGCTTAACCTGGCATCCCGATTTGATAGAAGGTTGGTGTCTTCGGAAACGTTGTGCAAGTGGACAGTCCCTATTAGATGCAATATACAAATGTTATATGATGTCAGATGCACGTATTATAAACTGGAATGTTATATGAAATGCATTTTAACTTACGATTGATTTTTTTTGTCGATAATGCCTCAGAAAATCAGGCGTCGCCGACTGAACGTTACCTTATTTCAATTAATAATGAATTGAAACATTGTTGATTTGGGAATTAAGTTTAGATGTTATTAATCTAGTGAATATTATTGAATGGAGCAACAACAAAAATCGTGTAGTCCTACGTCAATAATACGGTTTTGCGCTGTACATCTTTTTCAATGACTTCTATAATGTCAATAACATAATATGGCACACATCCACTAAAATTAGCAGATTCATAATATTGCAGTGCGATATTAATTTGTCAAGCTGTGCGGTTTTCTACAAAAATTAAATTTTTAACGAAAAAGATGATTAAAAAGTTATGCCAGAAAAAAGCCTTAAAATTGAGCTAAAAACCATGATTTTAAATTAGCTTTCCTGTAACGAAAAATAGCTTCCCCTCCAGTATTTATACATGAAAATATTTATCAATGCACGTAAAACTTTGATCACGTCATTAGTTTAAAAAAACTGGTTGCCCCAATTTGAAAAATAATCCACCAAAATATCGTATGTTTTGAACACATAAATGCTCTTAACATGTTGCATTTGTGAGATAGCGTGTTGAAGTATTCTAGAAAGTTGCTTGAAAAAACGATTTGAAGGGACCTTCCTTAAGAAATACTTCATATCTCATTGAAAGCGACGATTTAAATCATTGATGTTTTCAGCAAAGTTTGTGAAAATAATAAGATCTACAACTTTGTGTAGTATTTTATTTCTTAAACCGCAAAGAAGAAAAGTGAGAAATCGGGCTGATTTTTTGTAAGTGAGTAGTGTCAATGGAGACCCCGCCGAGAAAAAGCGGTGCGTAGAACTCAGTGGGTAACTCGTTCTTCGTGGGAAAGCTTTACCTCCTTCGTGCGCTTGCTGTACGGGGTGACGGTGTTACCTTCCGGTACGTCTACCGGAACTTCACTGAGTGCAGGTGATTTGTACTAAATATAGCGGGGTCCTGCTGTCCTTGATTCTCTCCTCACACTTTTCACTGTTTCCACTATTACCTTATGTTTTCACATTGCTTCGCTATTCAAAGTAAATTTAGCTAGCTTACTTGCTTGATCAACCATTTTCGAAGGTGGTCTTACGATCAGTGATTATTAATTTAAAAGTTGAATGAGCTCCAGGCTGTCGCCCAGTGACCCGGGCCGCTTATAAGCAGGTACAGTGACCTCATCAAGATGTTGCATTTTGTCTATGTTTTGTCAACATGCTCCCTGAAAATCAGCTTGCTGTCGAGTGTTATTTTGCATGCTGTAATTACGCATAGCATCCATAGCATGATATAAATTCGATGAAAATGATTTAAATATTTAAGCACGTGAAAAATCGAAATCTCGGTAGTTTTTTTCCACACGGTTTTTTTACACTATACATATTCCTCTGTAATAAAGTAGAAGTTAGTCTGGTTCGTTCAAATGGTGGCCATTTGCCATTTTTGTCAAATAGATAGCAAAACAAATTATGAATTTAAAACAGCACTTTACAAGTCTTCAATTAAATTACATAAAAATGACCAAGCAACAAGCCATCAGTAAAATAATACTAACATCTGCCGTAAAAGACACGGTAGATGATGTTTCAACGTACATTGATGAGGCAGATTCCCTTTGTCGCAACTCCATGGTTCCATTTTTTGCTTCTTTTATTAATTTGTACCGTTCGACCAAGTTGTTGGAAAATTGTTCGTCTTGGCAATCTTTGTTCAGCTGCTTAATCTTCGGAATGTCATGCAACAGCAATTGTTCCAAGTCAAACTGTGGATTACCAGCTAGACAAAGTGTCTTCATATGGTTTAGCTGGTTGACGTTCGGTTTAAAAACCACCAGCCGGTTATGTCGTAGATTAAGGTTTTTTAGTTCAGTGGTCCACCGAAGGGTATCAGCTTCCAATGTTTCAATTTGATTGTATTCTAGGTTTAGTTCTATCAGATTTGGTAATCCTGTCAGGGCCATATTGTCAAGCCGTACAAACCGGCAGTGTCTGCAGCTGAGCTTCCTTAGTGATGTGCTCAGAAGGAACGGACCATGGGCGCTGTTTGATAGACGATCGTTCCAGTCTAAGTTAAGGATTTCTAACTGGGAATGGGTTTGGAATGCATTTGCAACGATCAATTCAAGATTGTTGTGTGAGAGGCTCAGAAATGTTAAGTTTGGGTTATTTTTGAACAATAAATGGGAATGAATGGATTGAACTTGGTTGCCCTGCAGATGCAGGGTTTTTAGATTTGGTAGTTCTTTGAATGTAGCCTCGTATAATGTTGTGATTGAACAATTATTTAAAGATATTAGTTCAACAGAAGAACTTTTAAGAAATATCGTATCCTGTTGAAATTCAAACGAACGGTTATCGTCAAATAAAACATTCGTCACATTTCTATCATCTACTAGGTAATCTGGTTCTATGTATACAATTTCTCTATTCGAAAGGTCTACTGTTAATCCATCACTACTACGAAGATGGATGGGAGTTTTCTTATATACCGCTTTTCCAGTAGTAATCGGTAGATAGTTTTCAAACTTATGCAAATGATTTTTATCATCCAAACAACTTCGGCGGAGTCTTCTTATTTCGTACAGCTTCTTTGCATAATCAGTTTGATCACACGGTTGAAGTGGATTCCTGTCCATGCATAGCTGGTTCAACCTGTTCATAGGAAGTCCTAGTAGTATTGTGGGGACTTTTTCGATTGAATTATCGTCCAGCAAGATAATTGTGATATCTGGATTCTGCTGAAATCCATCCTCATTTATCCGAGCAATCCTATTATTTCTCACGTTGATAGATTCCAGCATCGGTAAGTGAGATGTATCCAGCGTGCCATTCAAACTACATTCTGCAGCACTGAGCACTTTCAGTGATGTTGATGTAAGGTTCAATCGTTGCAAGGGTTTATTACCGTTGATTGTCAACCTCGTAATATATTTTGCCAGCATCAAAGCATCATCGTCGATCCTGTCTATTACGTTGTACGACAGATACAGCGCGGAAAGTCTTGGCATGTTGGTCAGTGTTTCCTGAACGAGAAAGGTAGTGTGGCAGTAATTGCAAGTGAATAGCATCAATCTTGGAGATCGCAGGTCCACCTTGTTCAAATCAAATTGCTCGTTACTGCTTAGATCCATTATGAATAGGGCAGTAATGTGCCGAATTGTGGCTTCCGGATTGAATGTGGAAAGTTGATTGCCAACCAGACTGACCTTTTCCAATAGCGTATTGTACTGGAATGCATCTGGATGTATGTACTGGAGGGTGTTATTATTTACAATAAGATATGTAAGTTGTGGTAGCTTCGACAAGGATATCTGGTAGATGGAATTTATCCCACAATTGTTGCATTCGTAACGTGTCAGAGAGTCGTGTATCAGCAGAACCTGGTCAACTGGGAATTCAAATTTCGTTTGGTGGCTCATGTTCAGCTTCCAGAGGTTCGGATATGCGGCATACATTGTCTCGTTGACTATAGGATGTTTCGTCTCTATGGTGATGATGTGAGGAAAGATGGTGCCTCCGATGATCCTCAACCAGATAATGCTGAACAGAATGAAGCGTACCATTGTCTGTAACGAAATGCAAACAAGCTGTCAATTTTGGATTTGTGAATAATATCCAATATATTCATAAATAAATGGTAATAATCTCAGACCTTCATGAAAATTACACCTGTGCAATATGGATCAAAGAATCTTCACAGAAAATTTCAAATTATTCGGTATCATGCACAGTTAAAAAATTGGAATTTTACTGGTGATGTAAACATCCATGCATGCAAAAATGTATGCATGAAAACTTCCTTTTCACGTAAACTAGCAGCTTGCAAGAAATATTTCATGACATGTGTCATAAATTTACGCGATCTGTAATGTAAACTTGTGTGATGTATGACGCTCCTTTTATGTGCATCATAGTAACGCAAATTTACACCATTTTTTTTAACTGTGTGGAGCAGTTCCACGCCAAATGACAAATCGATCAAACTCAACCTTCTTCGATATGAGAGCGTCGATTAAGAGAATCAATCACTGTAGATTGGTCTATTTGAAAAGTTTCGCGAGATTTGTTTGTTATAGGCTTTCATTTTTCACATTTGTGCTGAAATTCGAATATTTTGGATCTTGTATTTTCTATTCGACATTTTGACGTAGACTACGTCTTACGGGAAGGTACTGGGGGTAAATCGAAAATCTAAAATTGCGACCGTCACGAAAAGGTGTAATTTTTTGAACGCTATAAGCTTTGTCATTTATAGATGAAATTAAAATCCGAATACACCAATCGATAGGAAATAGCTTTCGTAAGCTGTTCCAATAATTTTTTTTTTCAATTTTTCATAAAAAAAAGTGGACAAACAAAAAGTAATAATCTTATCACTGTTTTCATGAAATAAACGTTCTCACCAAACCCAGTCCTCATAATCAAGTACAATTTGGTTGTACATCGTGCTGCTTGAATCAGAAAAGTTATAAAACAGCGCTGCTAATGTGCCTCAACTCATTTTCGCTTCGGACTGTGGGTAAAGCAGCAGCAGTAGCAGCACACACTTAGAAATATTTTAGGTAAATTTAGGTGCTCTGAGACTGACATATACGAGCGTCAATTTTGACATAAAATTGTGTCATAATAGACGTGAAATTCAGCTCAATCAAACGTACTTTTCGTCTAGTAGCAAACTTTTGAGTCTAGGAGCACTTAATTTTACATGACATGTTTGTTTACGTCTCTTCCTTTATGTCAAAGATGGATTCCCTCACGTGTAAAATTAGGTATTTCTAAGTGTGCAGTATAGCAACAGTAGGAAGGCGGTTCCTGTCAAGCGCGCAAAGTTCGAGGTGCAAAACTCGAACTCTGCGTGCTTGACAGGAACCGCCTTCCTACTGCTGCTATACTGCTGCTACTGCTGCTGCTTTACCCACAGTCCGAAGCGAAAATGAGTTGAGGCACATTAGCAGCACTGTTTTATAACTTTTCTGAATCAAGCAGCACGATGTGCAACCAAATTGTACTTGATTATGAGGACTGGGTTTGGGGAGAACGTTTATTTCATGAAAACAGTGATAAGATTATCACTTTTTATTGGTCCATTTTTAAAACAGTTTTTTTTTATGAAAAATTGAAAAAAAGTGTATTGCAACAGCTTACGAAAGGTATTTCCTATCGATTGGTGTATTCGGATTTTAATTTCATCTATAAATGACAAAGCTTATAGCGTTCAAAAAATTACACCTTTTCGTGACGATCGCAATTTTAGATTTTCGATTTACCCCCAGTACCTTCCCGTAAGACGTAGTCTACGTAAAAAAAAATAACGAAATAAGGTTGATGATAGACTGTAAAGTATCTGATGTAAAGTAAGATACTTGTCCCCAATTCCTTCCTGTGGCACAAGATTTATTTGCTAGTTTGGCAGGATGCAAAGTTTTTTGCGCTCTTGGTTTGGAAGGAGCGCATACTCAATTGGCTTTGTCAGAGAGATCTTAACGTTTTACGACCATTAATACAATAAAAGGGTTGTCTACTCATCAACTACGTCCATATTCCAGCAAGTTATGGACAAAAAGCTTGAGGGCATTGTAAATGTATATTCCTATTTGGATGACGTTCTTATCGCAGGAAAAAAAATGGAAGAGTGCAATGAAAAGTTATACCTAGTGTTGGAAAGATTGCAAGATGCTAACATTAAGGATAATTGGGAGTTGTAAGTTTTTTATGTCTAGTTTGAACTACTTAGGTCACGCTATAAATGAAGAAAGCCTGCTACCATCCCAAGTAAAATAATTACCATACAAGAAGCAAAGGTGCCTAAGAATGTGACAGAATTGCACATATAGATGACACTGCACATACACACTTCTATGGTCACTATAGGCCCAACGAGAACCTACTCAGGAATGGCCGTTCCGAGGACAATTCATCGGATGATCACAAAATTATTATTATTATTATTTAGCTTTATTTAGGAGGCTTTCAGCCTTAGGCTGGTTCGCCTCCATCACAAAATTATGATAAACAGTCTCCTGCTGGAAATTCATGAATTTTGATACCCATATTGCAAGGGTTTCTTCCCAAACACTTATATGGCCACTAGAGGCCCTACGGGAACCTACTCCGGAACGGCCGTCCCGGGGACAATCCATCGGATGACCACAAAATTATTATAAACAATCTCCTGCTATAAATTCATGAATTTTGATATCCATATTGCAGGAGTTTCTTCCCAAACACTTCTTTGGCCACTAGAGGCCCTAGGGGAACCTACTCCAGAATGGCCGTCCCGGGGACAATCCATCGGATGATCACAAAATTATGATAAACAGTCTCCTGCTGTAAATTCATGAATTTTGATACCCATATTGCAGGGGTTTCTTCCCAAACACTTCTTTGTCCACTGGAGGCCCTACGGGAACTTACTCCGAAACGGCCGTCCCGTGGACAGTCCATCGGATGATCACAAAATTATGATAAACAGTCTCCTGCTATAAATTCATGAATTTTGATATCCATATTGTAGGATTCTCTTCCCAAACACTTCTATGGCCACTAAAGGCCCTACGGGAACCTACTCCAGAATGGCCGTCCCGTGGACAATCCATCAGATGACCACAAAATTATGATAAACAGTCTTCTGCTGTAAATTCATGAATTTTGATACCCATATTGCAGGAGTATCTTCCCAAACACTTATATGGCAACTAGAGGCCCTACGGGAACATAATACGGAATGGCCGTCCCGTGGACAATTCATCGGATGACCACAAAATTATGCTAAACAGTCTCCTGCTATAAATTCATGAATTTTGATACCCATATTGTAGGATTCTCTTCCCAAACGCTTCTATGGCCACTAAAGGCCCTACGGGAACCTTCTCCAGAATGGCCGTCCCGTGGACAATCCATCAGATGACCACAAAATTATGATAAACAGTCTTCTGCTGTAAATTCATGAATTTTGATACCCATATTGCAGGAGTCTCTTCCCAAACACTTATATGGCCACTAGAGGCCCTACGGGAACATAATACTGAATGGCCGTCCCGTGGACAATCCATCGGATGACCACAAAATTATGATAAACAGTCTCCTGCTGGAAATTCATGAATTTTGATACCCATATTGCAGGGGTTTCTTCCCAAACACTTCTATGGCCACTAGAGGCCCCACAGGAACCTGCGCCCGAATGGCCGTCCTGGGGACAATCCATCGGATGATCACAAAATTATGATAAACAGTCTCCTGAAATAAATTCATGAATTTTGATATCCATATTACAGGAGTTTCTTCCCAAACACTTCTTTGGCCACTAGAGGCCCTGCGGGAACCTTCTCCAGAATGGCCGTCCCGTGGACAATCCATCAGATGACCACAAAATTATGATAAACAGTCTTCTGCTGTAAATTCATGAATTTTGATACCCATATTGCAGGAGTCTCTTCCCAAACACTTATATGGCCACTAGAGGCCCTACGGGAACATAATACTGAATGGCCGTCCCGTGGACAATCCATCGGATGACCACAAAATTATGATAAACAGTCTCCTGCTGGAAATTCATGAATTTTGATACCCATATTGCAGGGGTTTCTTCCCAAACACTTCTATGGCCACTAGAGGCCCTAGGGGAACCTACTCCAGAATGGCCGTCCCGTGGACAATCCATCAGATGACCACAAAATTATGATAAACAGTCTTCTGCTGTAAATTCATGAATTTTGATACCCATATTGCAGGAGTCTCTTCCCAAACACTTATATGGCCACTAGAGGCCCTACGGGAACATAATACTGAATGGCCGTCCCGTGGACAATCCATCGGATGACCACAAAATTATGATAAACAGTCTCCTGCTGGAAATTCATGAATTTTGATACCCATATTGCAGGGGTTTCTTCCCAAACACTTCTATGGCCACTAGAGGCCCCACAGGAACCTGCGCCCGAATGGCCGTCCTGGGGACAATCCATCGGATGACCTCAAAATTATGATAAACAGTCTCCTGCTATAAATTCATGAATTTTGATATCCATTTTGTAGGATTCTCTTCCCAAACACTTCTATGGCCACTAAAGGCCCTACGGGAACCTACTCCAGAATGGCCGTCCCGTGTACAATCCATCGGATGATCACAAAATTATGATAAACAGTCTCCTGCTGGAAATTCATGAATTTTGATACCCATATTGCAGGGGTTTTTTCCCAAACACTTCTATGGCCACTAGAGGCCCTACGGGAACCTGCGCCCGAATGGCCGTTTCGGGAAGAAACCTTAAACTGGTCCTTAAGTAAGCTGAAATTGTTTTTGAAGGAAATGCTGATACTTTGATATCGATTCCTTCAAAATTCTAGCGAAAGTGCCAAGGAAATGCTTAGTTCTGGGACATTATTCAGAAAATCCGGATGGACATTGTTGGCAATGTCCAGAAAGAAGATAAGTTTCTGAATCCATTGGTGCCAAAAGATTCAGAATCGGTTGAAATTGGCCGCAGTAGCAAGCAGTTCAATTTTGTGGGTACCCGGGTACCCTTGTCGAGCTGTTTATGGGTAAAAATTTTGGTCTGTAATGCAGAACGTTGAATACGAAACCAGCAAGCCAACACCGTAATCGACCGTAGATCGACGTAAATCCTGCCTTAGGAAACGGTTTACGTTACTCATGAAGTTTCACTCACTGAGTTGCACGACTGATTGCTCCGAACAAATTGAACGAATTGAATTTCAGATACATATTGCAACTTCCACCTAAAATTCTTCTTCTTCTTATTCTTATTCTTCTTGGCTGTTACATGAGAACTGGAGCTTTACACTTGCTCTCAACTTTAGGCGATGAACTAGCCTACGGCTAAAAATCACGATAATAAAGAAAAAAAACCTGCTCTCAGCTTATTGTTCTATGACTAGAAAATTGAAACTCACATTCGACAATAAAAATCTTTCGAAGTTCCGGCACATCTTTGGTTAATTGGAGACAGTTTTTTAAGTTAATATACCCGGTAAAACACATGTACTTGCACGAACGGTTGGCTTTCTACTAGATCGACAAAATGTTATCGGACGTATTTATAGCACCGGTATTGATTCTAGTGATTCTAGTTAAGCTGATAAGAATCAACCACAGTTGATAGTAGAAGAGCAAAGGAGTCGGGGCCGTTTTTGGGCATTAGACTGAGGCAAAATTTTAAATTTTCGCTCCACAGTGTTCAAGCGGTTTCAAATCGGATCCTGATTAGCCTCCGAAAGTTTAAACTCACTATGGGAAAACAAAACAAAAAGTTTTGTTTTCCCATAGTAATTCCCATATAAACTTCAAATTTTCAAATTTTGGGAGGCTAATCAGGGTCCGATTTGGAATCGTTTGAGCACTGTGGAGCGATAATTTCAAATTTTGCATCAGTCTACTGGGCATCCAGTATTTGATTTGAATTTACTAAGTTCATCGCCATCATCAAATTACATGAGAATTCAAAGACTAGTTCAATCAAGTTCCAAGAACCATTTTGGCCACATCTACTAATATTCTGGGTGCCCTGAGGGTAGCAGCCGAATTGTCAAATACCAATCAATATGGAAATTTTTGGATTCGGGGTGAAGTTTAGAAATCGGAAATCGAAATTCGTCACCATTTTGAAAGATGGTGGCTTCCGGTTTCAGAAAACGTGAAACGTGATTTTTATCGCTCAATCTATGATCAATATTGATTACACATTTTTATATCATACTAGCTGAGTGTGCCCGGTATTGCTCGGGATTCAATATTAGTTTGAGTTTATGCACCAATTAAAAAAATGCTATATTGTACGTAGCCCCCCCCCCCTTTATCTAAGGGGCTATCCCCTATGACTTCCACATGCCAAAGTTGATTCCATTTGCTTGATTAGTTCTCGAGTTATGCAGAAATTTCTGTTTCATTTGTATGGGAGCCCCCCTTTACAGAGGGAGGAGGGGTTTCAAACCATCATAAGAACCTTTCCCTACCCCAAAAACCCCTGCATACAAATTTTCACACCGATCGGTTCAGTAGTTTCCGAGTCTATCAGACAGACAGACAGAAATTCTTTTTTATATATATATATTTCGATGGGTGGAAAGTTCATAGAACAAATACTTTAAAATTCTTCATTTTTTAAGATTTTTTCAAGCATGAAACTAAGTCATTATTCATTAAAATCACTTTGAGTAGTCAAATTTTGATGACAAAGTTGGTAGATTACACATTAAGCTTTGCTATGAAAGTTGTTGCAGCAGTTTTCGTTATTTCAGTCTCGAGAAACAAATATTATAAGCCGTAAATTACCTAACTTGAAGCATCTCTAAATCATCACCGATTTTGCTGAAAATTTGCACAGAAGTTCAAATTAATATCATGAATAGTAATCACGGTTGACCCTGTACATCCCGAACATTTCTGTTAAAATGAACAGGTCTAAGGTACATATATAAAATTTCAGTAGTGGTGTGGTGTACCCATTGAGCTGGAATTACCAGATAAGAAATGTTTTTTTTTTCATGTGGTGCTTATCAATGTCAGGTATCGTCTTGACTCACTACTAGTGAGTCAAGACCAGAGTTAATGTACACGTGCTTCCACCCCGCGTGCTGGAGACGCGCTGTCCACCACATCGTAGGTGCCTGCTACATTTCGAGGCATATTATTTCGCGTCCCTTTTATGTTCCTTCGTGTCTCATTCGTGTCACATGTGCTGCGTCTCATGAGCCCAGCTCGGCGAGATCGAGCGAGAGCAGCATAGAACCTACGTCCTGCGCTGATATGGGGGTCGGTAGAAATTTGGTGACAACAAACAAACAAACAAAAGAAACTGTTTATCAAGTAGTCCTGTCGCATTCTCGTTGTGTTCTGCTGTGTTAATTGACAGTTTAATTAAGTAGAATCGGTTTTTTGTTGAGTTCCGTGAATCTTGCTTATGATTGTACTGCAAAAGATGAGCCAAAGATATCACTCAAGGATGAAGATCTTTTTCTCATCAACTACTTGGCTAGAGAAGCTATTTGTTTACAGGTAAAGAATTGAACCAGCTAATGGCTAAACATTTCTAAAATAACTATTCGTTTGCAGTGTGAGAGGAAAATTACGGATTTACGCAAGTTCAGCTATTATCGCCACTACCGATCAATGCACAAGGAATTTTCACGACAACATGGTCTGTTGGATAAAGATGACGATGAAGGAGAGAGCTCCAGGAAAATTCAGAAAATTGAGGTACGACTGAATGCTAAGACGCTGGCCACCTCATTAATTGAACTGGTTACGGTAAATGGGCTTCCTCTGAATGTGTGAAGATATCCAGCGTTTCAACGAATCATCCGACCCATTGAAGATGGGCTAAAGACGGCGCAGCACTTGAATCCTAATTCAATTAAGCCGTTTCTGAGGAGTGTCTGCGGGCAAATTCAAAAGATTATTGTTTCGGAAATCGACGGTATGTTTGTGTGCGTTAAAGTCGATCTGGCGTCCAATTATCAGAACGCTTGGCGTCATCGAATTACACGTTAATCACACAGCTGTTAACTTGACCACAGAAATTTTAAAAATTCTGCACCCATACGGAATTGACATTAGACGCATCTTAACGGTGACATCCGACAATGCGAACAATATTCTTGCCACAGTAAACCGTCTCAAGATGACACAACAAGAGGCCCTCAACGATTTTGATGCGTTGCTTTGTGCTGAAGGACACACGACTCGTCCAAGAATTTCGGATGCAGTGTCTGATGACGAATTGGAGGAAACGGTTGTGGTCGATGATATCGAAATCGAGGATGCGTCGGAAGACGTGAGAATGGAAAAAAAGATGGAACTCATAGATCTAATTTTGCAAGGAGTTCGCTGTGCGGCACACACTTTGCAGCTGGCAGTTAACGACACAGTAGAATTGAAACATCAACATTCAAAAACTCGAAGTGCTGTGAAAAAGCTGAGAAAACTACCCTACAAAAGGATGTTTGAGGTCAGCAATAAAAAGAAGTCAAAGCTGGACTGCTTGACTAGGTGGAATAGCACCTATATGATGGTGAACAGCTTGTTGGAGGTGAAGGACTTCATTTGTACGTTGACGGAAGGAGTCGAGGAAATGATCATCGACATTGATTTGTGGGAGTTTATCCAGCGCTTTTCGGCAGTCTTTCGACCTGTAGCTGAAGCAACTACAAGATTGCAGGGCTCTCAAATTACTTTTGGTGATTTTTTCTTGACATGGGAGAAATGCACATTTGATCTCAAGAGTTCCAAAGATGATATGGCGTTAACACTCACCAGCAAAATGGATGACCAACGAGTGAAACTTATGGACAACCCTTCATTCCTGGCTGCGATATATTTTGATCAGCGGATCAATTTTCGGAACACGCCATTTATGACTAAGGATCAAAAGGAAATCGCAATGGTGAGTAAACATTTTTTTTCGGTTTTTGAAACTTCAGCTAACATGTACTTGTGATTTTATAAAACTTTAAGGACTTTTTAAATGATGTTTGGGAAAACATGCGTGTTGTTTTCAACCCAAACAGTAGTCAACCTGAAAGCATTGAGAAAACGGTAAACGGCGATTCTTTTGAAGCATATTTGGCATCTCTTGACGAAACAAATAATACAGCTCTAGATGCTAACATTTGCGATGAACTGGCGAAATTAGCATGTAGGCCACGCTTGAAGCTCAACACCACAGGATCGGAACCGGAAACCATACTGGACCATTGGTTCAAGATGAAAACTTCGAAACCGGAGCTTTACCGATTGGCTTCTGCTTTTCTGGGAATCCCTTGTACGCAAGTGAGCGTAGAGAGATCATTTAGTGCTCTAGCTCTGATATTGATCAAACAACGATCTTTGCTTGATGAGCAGACCTTGGCTGATATTCTTTTGATTCGACTAAACAGCGAATTGCTGAAAAAGGTTGACTGCAGTGAAATTTGAAATAATTTGTTAGAGCCTTTAAATTCTATAATTTTCTTTTATTTTACATCAAGCTAACATTAACCTTATGGTCCTTAGAATTTGATTAAAGAAAATCATTAAAAAAAAGAAAATATTCTTCGTTTTACTTATTAACTAATGAAAGAAAACTTGAGTAGGAATCCCCCGAATAGTGGTGCCGTCCACCCACTGCAAATGCTCGGTTGTCTTCCAACCAATTGACCACTTTATCAAGCAGTTTTGGCGAGACTTTCTACCAGCGATTTCACAAAACTGGACCAACTAATTTCTATGTTTTCATGAAACGCACAAATTTTGGCTACTTTTCTCGAGGTTCCAGGAGGAAACATCTCAAAATAATGTTTTATTTCAAAGTTCGAGTGGTAGTAAGCGTCATTTTAACTGCTCGAATGAAGTGGTTAATTGAGCCGATTTTCTGTAGTGCACACCCTAATCACAACCACATCGCTTTAGTCTGATGTACGTTTCCGCCATCATTTCAAAGTTCCATGCCATTACTCGAAGTCAAGAGTGTTGCTGATTCTCGGACAATGCACATGACTCGCACCAAAAATGAGTTATGAATGTACTTTTTTGGAGCGTTCCGATCCATTCAATGGAGAAAAACAGAGAGTATATAATGTAAAATAACCACAATGCTTATTTTGGGAACACGACATGATTTATTTTGGAAATTGTGCGTATTAAGATTTAGGTAAGAGGTGGAATTAAATTTAAATAGGAAAAGAGGCAAGGAATATTGCAATAAACCAAAAACCATTGTGGCTCTTAAAGTAAGCAATAATTAAAGGACAGCAAATGTTGGTACGATATGGATATGGTATGTCTTGACTAACTCAAGGTTTTTCATACATAATAAGTATACATATAAATTGCTGAACTAGGCTTGAAAACTGTTTTTGAAAAGTATGAGAGAAAGGTCGGTGTTCATGCTATGCCATGGCAATCGAAACTGCGAAAAAATAGGCTTTCTCGGTTATGACGTACGCATGATGCGGGACATTATTCCACCTTAATAGCTTCATTCGGGAGATTTG